TCCTGAGGATGGGTTCAGTGCCCCTGACAACCCCTGGTTTGTTTTATGGATTTTTACTAATCTGATTAAATTATTGGGACACTGTAAACTGTGACCAATCATTCCTGATTATATTTTATTATTTGACAAATCTTCAATTTATTTTTGTTTTTTAATTCAAATTGGAAGGCAAGTTGTCATCAGATTTTATACTTTTGGTGTCATTGCCTTCCAGAAAGGATTCTCTACCATGTGGACTTCGGGTAATTTTAATTTTGGGGGTCCTGAGAGTGAAGGGATTAATATACCTCTCTACATTCACCCTGCATCTTACTTTTCTCATTCTCTCTGGAAAGTCTCAATGATTCACATTTGTTCTTCCTTGCTTCCATGTGTGAGAGCTCACTTCATGCTCACGCTTTCTTGATCACTTCATTGCAGTGTACACTGATGGTTCTGACTCTATTGATGGTCTTGGGTATTTAATTTTAATGGCTGTCATCCACTTTGCTTTGATGTCTACCTTGCCATTGTAATTTTATCAGACTCTTAGAGCACATTACAAACTATCCAGAAATTTGACTCTATTTGTCAACTTTGGCTATGCCACATTTCTAGTAAACATAGACATCAGTTTTTGCTTGGCCTGTGGACACATCAGTTTATGTTAACGAACAAGCAAACTCAGCTGCTTAATCAGCTGTTTGAGACTTCCAATTTTCCATGGGTGTTCCTTGTTCAGATTATCCATCAGAGATCTCTTAACTCCACAACTGATGGAAACAATGTTGGTCCGAGATGATTCACAACAAATTATTTTGCCGAGCACGTTTAGGTTTCTTGTCTTCCCACTGCTGTCATGTTTCGGAGACTGCATTCTCCCATTTACATATTGGCAACACACGCCTTGTAGATGCCTCATGAAAAAATGCCTGGCATTGCTCAGTAGGGACTTTTTGGTTGCACTGTTAGTTTACCATATTAGATTGTCCAGCCTATCATCAGGCACGCAGAATTCACTTCCATTGTCTCTGCCGCTCCAGCACATTAATTAACCCTTTCAGAACATAAGAACATAAGAACGAAGGAACACTGCAGAAGGCCTACTGGCCCATGCGAGGCAGGTCCAAGTCTCCTACCGGCTTAAGCCAATGCACCCAACCTAGTCAGGTCAGGTCACATTGACTTAAGGGAGGGACACGGCAACCGACCTGGTAGCACAAGCTATCAGGTCTAACTCACACCCACCCACATCCACTCATGTATTTATCCAACCTATTTTTAAAGCTACACAACGTTCTGGCCTCTATAACGGTACTTGGGAGTTTGTTCCACTCATCCACAACTCTATTACCAAACCAGTACTTCCTATATCCTTCCTGATCTGAATTTTTCCAACTTAAAACCATAGCTGCGAGTCCTGTCTAGGCTAGATATTTTCAGCACACTATTTACATCCCCTTTATTTATTCCTGTCTTCCATTTATACACCTCAATCATATCCCCCCTAATTCTACGTCTTTCTAGAGAGTGCAGATTCAGGGCCCTTAGTCTATCCTCATAGGGAAGGTTTCTGATACATGGGATCAACTTTGTCATCCTCCTTTGTACATTTTCCAGAGAATTTATATCCATTCTGTAATAAGGTGACCAAAACTGTGCAGCATAATCTAAATGAGGCCTAACCAAGGATGTATAGAGTTGAAGAACAACCTGAGGACTCCTATTATTTATGCTTCTTGATATGAAGCCAAGGATTCTATTAGCTTTATTGCGAACACTTATGCAGTATGACTTACGCACCAGGGTTTTTGACGTACTAGTACGCCTAAATTCTAGCGCCCTCAAATCTAGTGAGAGAAAGCTGGTAGGCTTACATATGAAAGAATGGGTCTGTGGTCAGTGCGCGTGGTATAAAAAAAATCCTGCAGCACACAGTGCGTAATGAGAAAAAAAAAACTTTGACCGTGTTTTTGGATTAAAACAGCGACTTTGCACTGTATTTTCGTATGGTATTATTGTTGTATTCTAGTTTTCCTGGTCTCATTTTATAGAATGGAAGACATTACAGAAATTGAGATGATTTTGACTGGTTTTACAAAGAAAAGTACATACCTTGAAATTGAGCTCAAAGTAGCTGAAATGTTAGATTTTTACTGAAGTTCAAAAGTAAACAAATCATTCTATGCATCCAATACACGTCAACTGGTGTGTCTAATATTCTTTCACAAGTGCGCTGATATTATTTATACCATTTCTATACCAATGCAGTGGTCTGCATAACAGTAAATCTATTTTTCTGTGAGAATAAAAATTCAAAGTGGAAAGCAAAAGAATGTAAGAGGGGCACGGGGACGTGACTAATGAACAGAGGAAATGTTATTTTAGTGCCAGGAATGTCTTTCTCGTTTATTCTGGACCCTATTCGGAAATTGGCATCTTTGAAATTTGTGTGAAATTGGCAAAATTGCTAAATTCTGACTACTATTGGATAGTTGAAATCGGTAAATGGGTGGTTTCTTGTACTCATTCTATAGAAAAAATGAAGTTCTAGCGAAAATATTTATGATTTTGTCGACAAGTACACTGGAATTGGCTGAAAATAGAGCTCAAAGTGGGCAAAATCGCTGTTGCGTAAACATCGTCGAGACCGCTAACTTTGTGGAGAGCATAATTCCGTAATTTCCACCAAATTTCATACTTTTGGTGTCATTATGATCAGGAAAAGATTCTCTGTCTTTTCATAGAAATAATAATTTTTTTTTTTTTTTTTTGAAATTTGGGGCGACCATGAGAACAAGTCTCTGAGAGGGTCTGTCGACCCTGAAAGGGTTAACTACCTGACCTTCTTGCTGAAAGTTCAACCTTTGATGCAGATTCTTACTTTTTAATAGAAAATTATTTATTGCACCAATTGGATTTTAGTTTTTTTTGTTTTCACTCTCCCCCCTACCCCCACTAACCTCCACTCGCACAACTTCTGCACCTCATTTCCCCTCGTCATTGTTGCATGTTTTTTTTTTTCCCTGCATCCCTCCCTGCAGTGCTAATGGGCCCCTCGGGTTTAATGCTTAATTTTATTTATTTTTTTCTTCTCCTGCTTGTACAAGCAGAAGCTTTGGGAGATTTATGTATTGTGCTGTAGATGGCTGTGAATCATTTTGTTATATTAACTGATGCAACTCATACATTAGCTATACAGTTTTCTTCTTTGCTGGTGACAAGGAAGAATTTCATCATGCCTTAAATTCTTTGTTTCCTATTTGTTGATAGAGAAGTGTTTGGAGATGGTTATGTGACTTCTGAACATTAAATAGCTGTATGTTATCCATTTGGTCTCTCAGCTTGTGGTTGTGGGTCGGTCATCTATTAAGGCCACTACAGTATATGTCATCTTGTGCAGAGTCAGCAGTCGGCATTCCCCAGGCCATACAAATCTTTAACCTTTTCAGTGTTGGTCCTGTCGTATCACGGCTTTGAAACCAGTGTCAGTCCCGTAGTATGATGCCATGAGCTCAGCTCACTCAGATAGGCTGTGAGTGGTAAATTTTGGCATAGATATGAGAGAATGGGTCTATGCAGTAAGTGTGCACCATATAAAAAAATCCTGCAACACGCAGTGCATAATGAGAAAAAGAAATGCCTACAACCATGTTTTTGGTTTAAAACTATGATTTGCAGTGTATTTTCGTATGGTTTTTATGGTTGTATTGTCGGTTTCTTCATCTCTTTTGATAGAATGGAAGATTTATTACAGAATAGAGATTAGTTTCAGGACAAAGTAGCTTGAAATTGAGCTCATTATAGTGGAAATGTTAAATTTTTGCTGATATTCCAGTATTCCTCTGGACCAGAGGAAATATAATTTTTACCCTCCACTGACCCCTTGACAACATATAAACATTGCATATTTATGTGGTATGTAACGTGTTTCTTACATAATTTTGAAGAAAATATCATAGATGGATTAATGAAAATGTCTATATTAATGTAAAATAAGATATTTAATGTTTCCAAGAGTGAGTCACGAATGTATGAGCGGTCCAGGTGGACGTGTCTGGTACCGTCGATTTCCGAGCTGATGTACGAAACCCGGGGGGGAATTTCGCTGTAAGTGCTCGAAATCCGAATTGTACAATTTCCATACCGGCCAAAAACCCGGGGTCCACTGTATTCATATTGGTGAGAGTCGTTGGTAAACAAGTACATCGCTAAGTGAGGAGAGGCTGTATAATGGAGGGATTTCGGTATACTTCTAGTATACTAAAGATTGATATGTTCTTAGACATTTTTACTCTTATAAATTTTACCATAACTTCATAAGTTTTTTGTTATGAATGTTTGAAAGTAAGTTAAAACAGTCATTATTGCTACTAGTGAGCGATTGAGAACCCCTCTCCTAGGCTTAGAATGGCACAGCTACATATCTCTTCTCATCTCACTGCTCTTGTGAAGTAGTTAGGGCTTTGTGAATGGTTACTCAGACTGGATGAGAAGAAATTACCCTGTTGGATAAAGGCTGTTAGCATTTTCATATGCCCTGGAAAGGGGCAAGCATTATTTGCCTGACAATGTATTAAAACTTAAGGTGTGCTGTGCAGATTTATGCTGCAATTTTTCAATCATATTATAAAAAATGTGTTGTTCAAATGCGTTTCATTACTGTGTGTACTGTATGTATGGTGTTGTATAATGTTATGCACTACATTTTTTTTTTTCAATGCATATGCCATTTCCCAACAAGGTATGGTGGTATGTTAGATAAAAATAGTTACGTATGCCTGAGTATGGACAAGTGTTTGTTTTTGGTTAGCTAGTCAGAAGCACTTCTTTTTTGGCCTAGTAAGTGTTACATATTTTTGGAAATAAAAAAATTGCAATATTGTATATTTATAAATAGTGATTTTATTTAATTTACATACTGTATATATTTTTGCCAGTATTCTATGATTTATGATGATAACTTCAAATATAAAATAATGTTTATAATATACTCATGTTTAAAAATTTTACCTTTGCAGATTGACTCTCAGAAGTACAGAGGTTTTGGATCATCTAAACAATTAGCAAAACAAGCCGCAGCTGAAGCAGCATTGATAAGCTTTGTTAAGCCACCAATTACTTCCAACTCTTCTGGAAGTCCAGAGGAGGATAAAACCCCATGGGCTACTCTTGCATCATTTGCTATATACAAGTTATTCAATGATTGGCGTGAGGGTAGAGTTGGCATGTGTCCTCCACCACCTGCCCAACCTTATGGTGCTGCAGTTCCCCCTGGTAAATTTTGTGTTAATACTGTTCACTTATTTTGTGGTTTTTCTAATTGACACATTTAGACACTGTATCCACTAAGTCAAGGACTTAACCAGTAAGGGACACCAACAGGTTCAGTCATCTGCAGGGTTGTATACATTTCCTTGCAATGATTGCAACCAAATATACTAAATATCCAGAGACCTCCAGATATAATAGGTATTTGTTCCTTGCACATAGTGCTCCTAGTGTGGTAGATGACTGTAGAATATTGGAACAGTGTCAGAGTATTTCAACCGAGACATGGTCTTCTGAGGACTGCAATTACTATGGCTTATTGATTTATTAATTTTGAGAGGATGTGGCTTTTCAACTAAGATGTTCGTATTTAATAGTTAACCTGCTGTGGTACACTTTTTAATATATCTTGTTGCCTCGTAGATGATGATTTAATATTTTAGAATATAATGTTCTCTAATGAGGTCTTTTAACCCTTCCACTATCCAGACCCCAGAAATTAATATTGCTCTGTGTCCACTTTTAAACAAAATTGTTTTTTCCTTCTGAAATTGTAGAGAATCTTTTTCTAAGGGTAATGACACCAAAAGTACTTGCCTTTCATGTTGAATTTATTATCACACAAATATAAGATTTACTCAGCTTCTTGGATAATAAAATACGACCAGGAATGATTGGTCTAAACATTTACGGCATTCCAATAATTAAATTCGACCTATGAAAAACTCATAAAACAGGCTGGGGAGTGTAGGGGTGCAGTATCCATCCTCGGTAAAACCTGCAAAAATAAAATATTTCTGCTACTTTGAGTCCAATTTCAAGCTACTTCCAGTCCTGAAACCAATCAAAATTATCCCTCTTTTAATAGTATGTCTTCCATTCTATTGAATGATACCAAGAAAGCTAATACAATTATAAAAACTGTCCTAGAAAACACCTCAAAGTTGCTATATTAAACCAAACATGCCTGGAGTTTCGCTCATGCCATCATGCACTGCATGAGGCAGGAGTTTTTTCTGCTGTGTACACTCACCATGTAGACCCATTCTTTCACATCTAGGCTAAAATTTACTTACAACTTACCTGAGTGAGCCGAGTTCATGGTGTAGAACTACATGAAGGACCCTGGCCTCAGTGATGTAGTTATATGCTACTGAAAGGGTTAAATCATTACCTATTATACTTATTTTTTTCCTTTCCAATCCCCCTTCCCCCAATTTAATTTTCTCCATCTTACCTCTTCCCAATCTTTCCTGTCTTGCCTCTTCCTTCCTGCCCATGTCACCCCTTCCTTCCCTCCTGCCCATGTCACCTCTTCCTTCCCTCCTGCCCATGTCACCTCTTCCTTTCTGCCTGCCTGTCTCACCTCTTCCTTCCCTCCTGTCTGTCTTGCCTCTTCCTTCCCTCCTGTCTGTCTTGCCTCTTCCTTCCCTCCTGTCTGTCTCACCTCTTCCTTCCCTCCTGCCTGTCTCACCTCTTCCTTCCCTCCTGCCTGTCTCACCTCTTCCTTCCCTCCTGCCTGTCTCACCTCTTCCTTCCCTCCTGCCTGTCTCACCTCTTCCTTCCCTCCTGCCTGTCTCACCTCTTCCTTCCCTCCTGCCTGTCTCACCTCTTCCTTCCCTCCTGCCTGTCTCACCTCTTCCTTCCCTCCTGCCTGTCTCACCTCTTCCTTCCCTCCTGCCTGTCTCACCTCTTCCTTCCCTCCTGCCTGTCTCACCTCTTCCTTCCCTCCTGCCTGTCTCACCTCTTCCTTCCCTCCTGCCTGTCTCACCTCTTCCTTCCCTCCTGCCTGTCTCACCTCTTCCTTCCCTCCTGCCTGTCTCACCTCTTCCTTCCCTCCTGCCTGTCTACCTCTTCCTTCCCTCCTGCCTGTCTCACCTCTTCCTTCCCTCCTGCCTGTCTCACCTCTTCCTTCCCTCCTGCCTGTCTACCTCTTCCTTCCCTCTGCCTGTCTACCTCTTCCTTCCCTCCTGCCTGTCTACCTCTTCCTTCCCTCCTGCCTGTCACCTCTTCCTTCCCTCCTGCCTGTCTACCTTTCTTCCTCCCTGTCACTCTTCCTTCCCTGCCTGTCTACCTCTTCCTTCCCTCCTGCCTGTCTACCTCTTCCTTCCCTCCTGCCTGTCTACCTCTTCCTTCCCCCTCCGTCACCCTTCCTGTCCTCTGCCTTCTCCTTTCTCTCCTCGTCTGTCTACCTCTTCCTTCCCTCCTGCCTGTCTCGCCTCTTCCTTCCCTCCTGTCTGTCTCGCCTCTTCCTTCCCTCCTGCCTGTCTCGCCTCTTCCTTCCTCCTGCCTGTCTCGCCTCTTCCTTCCTCCTGCCTGTCTCGCCTCTTCCTTCCCTCCTGCCTGTCTCGCCTCTTCCTTCCCTCCTGCCTGTCTCGCCTCTTCCTTCCCTCCTGCCTGTCTCGCCTCTTCCTTCCCTCCTGCCTGTCTACCTCTTCCTTCCCTCCTGCCTGTCTCCTCTTCCTTCCCTCCTGCCTGTTCACCTCTTCCTTCCCTCCTGCCTGTCTCACCTCTTCCTTCCCTCCTGCCTGTCTCCCTCTTCCTTCCTCCTGCCTGTCTGTCTCACCTCTTCCTTCCCTCCTGCCCTGTCTGTCTCGCCTCTTCCTTCTCTCCCTGTCTGTCTCACCTCTTCCTTCTCTCTCCTGTCTGTCTCACCTCTTCCTTCTCTCCCTGTCTGTCTCGCCTCTTCCTTCTCTCCCTGTCTGTCTCACTCTTCCTTTTCTCCCTGTCTGTCTCACCTCTTCCTTCCCTCCCTGTCCTGTCTCACCTCTTCCTTCCCTCCTGCCTGTCTCACCTCTTCCTTCCTCCTCCCTGTCTGTCTCACTCTTCCTTCTCTCCCTGTCTCTCACCTCTTCCTTCCCTCCTGTCTGTCTCACCTCTTCCTTCTCTCCCTGTCTGTCTCACCTCTTCCTTCTCTCCCTGTCTGTCTCACCTCTTCCTTCTCTCCCTGTCTGTCTCACCTCTTCCTTCCCTCCTGCCTGTCTCACCTCTTCCTTCCCTCCTGCCTGTCTCACCTCTTCCTTCCCTCCTGCCTGTCTCACCTCTTCCTTCCTGCCTGTCTACCTCTTCCTTCTGCTGTCTCCTCCTCTCCTTTTCTCCTTCCTCCTGCCTGTCATTTTTCCTCTCTGTTTTCTCCTTCCCCCCGCCTGTCCCCTTTCCTTCATCCTCCTGCCGTCTATTTGTCCCTCCTGCCTCTCCTCTTCCTTCCCCTCCCCTTCATCTCTTCCTTCCCCTAGTTCATACCCTTTCCTTCCCTCCTGCCTGTTACTTTCCTTTGCCTTCCTCTATATTCTTACTCCACATCCTTTCCTTTTCTCTGCATCCTGTCTCTTTTACTTTATCTTTTCTCCTCCTTTTTTTTTCTTCCCTTGTTTACCCTTTCATTTTCTCACTGTCCTCTGCTCTTCTTTCCTCTGTCTCCTCTCCTTCCTCCACTTTTCCTTTCTCTCCTCTTGTTCGCCTCTTCTTTCCCTCCTGCCTGTCTCCTCTATTCCCTCCTCCTGTCTCGCCTCTTCTTCACCTGCCTGTCTCGCCTCTTTCCTTCCCTCTGCTGTCTCCATCTTCCACTCCTATTCTTCCTCTCCCTCCTGCTGTCTCGCTCTTCCTTCTTCCTGCTGTCTCGCCTCTTCCTTCTCCCCCTGTCTTCTGCCTCTTCCATCCCTCCTGCCTGTCTCGCTCTTCTTTCTCCCTGTCGTCTCGCTCTTCCTTCTCCCTGTGCGTGTCGTCGCTCGTTCCTTCATCCCTGTCTGTCTCGCCTCTTCCTTCTCTCCTGTCTGTCTGCCTCTTCCTTCTCTCACCTGTCTGTCTCGCCTTCTCTCTCTTCCTCTCCCTGTCTGTCTCCCTCTTCCTTCTCTCCTGCTGTCTCGCCTCTTCCTTCCCCTGTCTCTCACCTCATCCTTCCCTCCTGCCTGTCTCACCTCTTCCTTCCCTCCTGCTGTCTCACCTCTTCCTTCCCTCCTGCCTGTCTCACCTCTTCCTTCCCTCCTGCTGTCTCACCTCTTCCTTCCCTCCTGCTGTCCTCACCTCTTCCTTCCCTCCTGTCTGTCTCACCTCTTCCTTCCCTCCTGTCTGTCTCACCTCTTCCTTCCTCCTGTCTGTCTCACCTCTTCCTTCCTCCTGCCTGTTCTCACCTCTTCCTTCCTCTGCCTGTCTGTCTCACCTCTTCCTTCCTCCTGCCTGTCTGTCTCACCTCTTCCTTCTCTCCCTGTCTGTCTCACCTCTTCCTTCTCTCCCTGTCTGTCTCACCTCTTCCTTCTCTCCCTGTCTGTCTCACCTCTTCCTTCTCTCCCTGTCTGTCTCACCTCTTCCTTCTCTCCCTGTCTGTCTCACCTCTTCCTTCTCTCCCTGTCTGTCTCACCTCTTCCTTCTCTCCCTGTCTGTCTCACCTCTTCCTTCCCTCCTGCCTGTCTCACCTCTTCCCTTCTATGTCCCTCCTCTCCTCTCTCCTTCCTGTCATTTATCTCTTAGTTTTCTCCTTTCCTCCCTCTGTCCCCTTTCCTTCACTCCCTCCTGCCCTCTTGTGTCCCCCTCCTCTCCTCTCCTTTGCCCCTCCCTCTCTCATCTCTCCCTTCCCTATTCATACTTTTCCTCTCCTCTCTTCCCTGTATTTCACTTTGCTTCCTCATGCATATTTCTTTACTCCACATCCTTTTCTTTTCTCTGCATCCTTGTGTTATTTCACTTTATCTTTTTCTCTCTCCTCATTTTTTCTTCCCTTTTTTATCCCTTTCATATTTTCATCACTATCCTCTGCTCTTCTTTTCTCGATTTCCTCTCCTTACCCCCACTTTTCCTTTTTCTCTCACTTTATTATCTTCCTCTTTCCCTTCTCTTTATAATTCCTTTGTTTTCTGTTAAGCTCTTCCACCTTTTTCTTCTCTCTCTCATATTTATCCTAATTCTTCCTCTCCCTCCTAGGGACTTTTTTCTTTGTATCAGTTACCCTGTCCTTTCCTCATTCTTCCTTCCTTCCTATCTTCAGCTCTATCCATGCTTTAGTGTTTCAGGTCTTTTCTTGGACCCACCAGTTGCATTCTCGGTGTAGGGGGGAGTACGGGTCATCAAGGTTGAGTACAATAGTACTTTTGGCATTACTACACACTTAGTAAGGAAGAAGGAAGGTGTATACAAAAGGTCTCATTTGGAATTTTATGATGTCCTGCTAGGAATTTGGTTGCACTCTGGAAACTAGCACACTAGATTTGAAATAAACACTGTCTCAGCAAGAATGAAATATGGGACTGTTAGGTTGCTAGGCTGGTACAGTGACCACTTCTCCACCATACATGTTTGTTTCTGCTATTACTTATTACTTTATTTCATACTGGAACTTAACATAATTCAAAATTTGCTTCCAAATACATACAGTTCTTCAGTAATTGTATATTGAATAATAGACAGATTTGCCTAATTGTTCTGTTTTTGTGGGAACTAGCTGCTTCTCACTTTGCAGGATTTCAAGCATTCTTAAATCAGTCTGAGGGAACAAATGCAGTTAAGGAAGAATTCCCACAAGCTGCAGCATTTACTGAAGCAATATGTGCTCATCTAGGAGGCCGTGCTCCCAACACTCCTGCCACTGATGGACGAGTAAGATATTTGTGCTTGTATTGCAATACATCATTTGATCATACTAATGTAGCCATTGAGTAACATAATAGATATTTATTTTCTGACGATTAAGATGTTTCTCATCGAAATCGGAATATTCTGTTTTGACTAGTTAAAAATATTCAGTTTTTGTTTTCAGCCAGACACAGCAGAGCCTTTGAAGGTGCCAAATCCAGCTAAGCAGGTTCCTGAAAATGCAGGTGCCATGCATCCAGTCATGGTTTTACATCAAATGAAACCTGGAGTTCAGTACACTGTTTCTCAGACGATGCATGACAGCAAACCTTTCTTTAGTGTTACAGCTGACATTGATGGAAAGGTGTTCACTGGGGAAGGTAGGAGAAATGGCTTTAAAAATTTTAGTAATTAAGGTATTTATAAACAAACTAAGGTGTCTCTTATGATAAAATGTTTGCTTATTTGTGCTGCATAATTAGATGCATGATAGTTTGAAATCACCCCAAAACATTAACCTTTATGTACAGTGATTGCCATGATTGCATTATATTTGGTGGGAGGTGTGAATTTGTCTTTTTTTGTTTTTTATAGTGTATATATAATCATAATCATTTATTTAATATATTTTTCCTGAAAATACATTAGTATTACAAAGTTTTCTTACATGGAAAAGCTCATAATTATGCAAAGCATTTTAGGCAAACTGACTAGGAGTAATAATTTTAACACTGGCCATCTGCCACCAAGGTAGGTGATGCAGAAAAGAGGAAACATCACCCATTCAATTGATTGACACAGTTCAGATGGCCCTCCAAATTGCAACATCCTTACCTCTCCTTCAGGGTCTATACCCTATACAACTCAGTATTGATTTGAGTTGTTGGGTGGTATTTGATAGGTCATTAATATAAAATGGAATAGGGAGGGGTGCAGAATAGTGCTTTGGGGAACATCAGTATACAGTATATTGAGAGTAAATGCTGATTTGTTTGTCTCCTACTTAAGTAGGATTTACTATAGTAGGAGTAGCCTGTTGAATTTATTATGTCTCAGTTTTTAGAGGAGGTTGGGGTAAATAGTGTTGAAGGTTATTAGCTAGTCGAATATGCCAAGTGGATATTTGTTCTTGTCAATTTCTGTATAGATTGTCCCATATTTTTATTGCAATTGTACTAGCATGGAGATAATTTTTTACTTGATTATATATGGAAAAATATATATAGCATTTTTTCATATTTGACAGTATTGGTTGATTTGCAATTGATGTTAGTTGTTTGTTGGAGTTATCACCTTTATGGATTGGGAGTTACTAGTTGTTTTGAATATCTGTACAAGTTTCCGAGTCAAATCATGTATTGAAAGGAATTGCACTGGCTGCTGACAACAGTTGTGATGCCTTGTATATAATGATGTTTGATTTATTGCTTTCTGTACATTGAGTGATTTTTATTATGGAGGGTACTTGTGATTGGTAATAAGTATGAGGAATTAGGTTGGTTGCCAGTAACAAAACTCATTATGGAGTTTGACTTTGAAGGATGTCACATGGTAGTTTGGTGTAAATTGGAACACTTCCATTCATTAGCAGGATGAGAGGCCAAGAGTGTGTGTGAATTATTTGTCGTGAGTGTTAAGTTTCTTGTTTTGGGATTGGTTTGTTTCTAGAATTTGGAATAGGGTTTTTCTTTAGTTGCATTTAAAGTTAGAATGATATATCTCTCTGGATCTTTCAGGTAGGCTAGTAAGTGTTAGATCTGAATGTGCCTGCAGTTATCTCTGAATTGTTTTACATTTTTGTTGTAATTTGTTTAACCTGTTAACTGTTACCTACTTGGAGAATTGGAAATTTCATAGACAGGACTCACAGCAGTGGTTTTAAGTTGGAAAAATTCAGATTCAGGAAGGATATAGGAAAGCACCGGTTTGGTAATAGTTATAAATGAGTGGAACAAACTCTCGAGTACCGTCATAGAAGCTAAGATGATGTGTAGTTTTAAAAATAGGTTGGATAAATACATGAGTGAGTGTGGGTGGGTGTGAGTTGGACCCTGACTATCTTGTGCTACTAGGTCAAATGCTGTGCTCCTTCCTTAAGTGAATGTGACTGACCTGACTAGGTTAAGGCATTGGCTTAAGGGAGTGGGAGAATTGGACCTGGCTCACATGGGCCAGTAGGCCTGTTGCAGTGGCATTTCATGAACACTAGATTTTATTTTGTGTTAAGGTGGCAAAATTAACACTATCATTTTACAATTTATTAATGCCAAATTATGATTGCTTTTCAGTTTTTTATTATTTTTAATATTTAATACTATGTATGCTAGTTTAGGAAATGCATAACTTGACATTGCTGCACTTAGAATGTACAGGATAAATTGGTTACTAAAAGTATTATTCAGAAGGCTGAAGAGGGGTTGTTGAGATGGTTGGGTCATTTAGAGGATGGAGCAATATAGAATGACCTAGAGGGTTTATAAATTTGTAGTGGAGGGGAGGACAGGTAGGGGTCATCCTAGGAAAGGATGGAGGGAGGGGTAAAAGAGGTTTTGTGTGCAAGGGGCCTGGACATTCAGCAGACATGTGTGAGCATGTTAGATAGGAGTGAATGGAGACTAATGGTTTTTGGGACCTGATGAGCTGTTGGAGTGTGAGCAAGGTAATATTTTGTTAAGGGATTCAGGGAAACTGGTTAGGAAGACTTAACTCCTGGAGGTGGGAAGTACAATGCCTGCACTTTAAAAAACTGTGATATCTGGGCACCTCTGCAAAGACGGTGATTGTGTAAATGATGGTGAAAGTATTTTTCTTTATTGGGTTGCCCTTCTTTGGTGGGAGATGGCTAGCATGTTAAAAAAAAAAAAGTACACTTTATATACTGTATTTGGAATTCTCTCAAATTAGGAATCTGAATTCCTTAATTTGGAAATTATATTGCCAAATATTGGAATTTTTTGAAACTGAGTAAAGATTACCTAATTTTATTTAGGAGCATACTACTAGTGAGATAATTCTTATTTTTTTTCAAATAATGGTGTTACTAAAACTTCTTTTGGAACACAATCATCTTTCAAGATTTGTGGAAGGCTTATGTTCCTAGAGGTCCCCTGAAAATAAAATGCCACTAATAATACAAAGTTAAGTCTGTACAACAAATTTGTTTTTCACATTTAGGTTCATTTTGTTTCAGACTTTATTTTTCAAGTGTATCACTCAACTGGTTAATGTTAACATTCAGAAAGAACATTGGTCAAAATAAATAAGAAGTTTAATGCTGGAAAGCCATTGAACCAGAGAAATGTTAGATAATTGATTTTATTCTTTGGTTGCTCATCAGTAAAAACTTTGAATAATCAAAACTTGTAAATAATTAAGCCTGCAGTTTTCAAGAATGGCTGTACTTAAGAAAAAAAATTCAATTTTGTAATTAGTCTCCTCCTCCCCACATATATTAGTCTGAATAAGAGAGATTACTGTGATATAAGGTGTTGGGGTATGTTATGCATAAACCATTACATCTTTGATGATGGTGACTAGGATAAGAATTTGATGTACTGTAATTGTGTTAAGTATTTAGTACAATTATCATTTTTTCAATTAATTTAATTTTTTCAGGACCCAATGTGAAAAAGGCAAAATTCTTCTTGGCCAAAGAAGCAGTCTTAGGGTTATTTGGTATAGCATCCACATTTGAATCTCCAGCTTAATGTGGTAACTTGGCTATAGTTGATGGTTTCCTTCTGCAGTTCTCGGTATAAAATATGACTACCAAGGTTATTGATAATTGTGAAGCAGTTGTATCTTTAGAGAATCTCAAGTGTAGTACTTGTCCTCCACCCCTACCACCTCATGCCTATTGTAAATCCTTCTAAACTTTGACTTGAAATTATAATAAATCTTTAAAAATGAATAAAGTCGATCAGTATTGTTACTCTACATGTTTATATCAATGTTTGGAAATACTAATATGAGGTATAAATTAAATTCGTTGATTAGCATGCCAAGACAGTTCATAAATTTAGTTTGTGATGTTATTTACTGGAATGAAATTACATGTTCCTTTTGTATTTTTGAGAGAAGGAAATTGGTTTATTTCACAAATTTTGTTTAATTCATATTAGAGGTGTTTTGATTTAGTTAAAATATTCTCAAATTAATATGACTTTGTAATATAGAATATAACATTCTAATTGATGTAGTTTATGTATCATGTTTCAAAAGTATGGAAAAGCTAGAAAATAAAGTAAGTCAAGAATAAATCTTAAACAACTTACTTTCCTTATCAAATAAAACCAAAGACACTGGCAAAGAACATAAGAATGGAGAAGCAGTGCAGTAGCCCTGCTGGCTCATGCTAGGCAGATTTTCAGATCCACTCCTCCTCAATCATATTTATCTTTCCTATTTTAAAAGTGACCCCAAATATATTTAACTAAGTGTTTGTTAGCTTTTGCCATTTGCTCATTTTATAAATGCTTTTGGTTTAGCACTTAAGTTTTGATTAACAATAATAACATAGAAGCTTTGAACATTTTATTTTAAATTTTAAATATTCCTTAAAGTTAGTATCATCCAGGTGGTCATTTACAAAGACAAATATGTCACCTCATACTATACTATGGAGAGCTTCATGATTGTGCTACACTTATTTACATAAAAGTAATAGCCTTTTTTTTTCTTCATTGGCTCTCTTCAACCAAGACAGGATGACCTAAAAAAGGAAACTTTCTGTTATTCGTATGTTTCCCTTGGGTGAAGTTCCTTGATGCCAGTTAGGAGTTCTTGATTCAAAGAACTGAACCTGCCTTTTCCTTTGTACATTCATGGGGGAAGCACTAAACCCATATGGGTCATACAGCCCCTGGGAGAAAAAAAAGCATTAAGGCTTGTTTTAAGGAATTTGAGAACAGGTCCTTTTCATTAGATTAAGCCTCTCAGCATCAAGTTACCTCCCTTCAGTTGAGCCTTAGTACCTCAAATTGCCTGAGATATTATAACCCTTTTAAGTTTAATGCTCTACATTTTACAACTTAGATCACTCCTACTGTAACATCCTCACCCCTTCTTCAGAATGTAGGCACTGCCCTTCCTGCCTCCAGGATTTAATCAGCTAACCTGTTTTCCTGAATCCCTTCATAAATGTTATCTTGCTCACTTCAGTAGCACATCCACCAAAAACTACTTGTCTCCCTTCACTGTCTAGCATGCTCATGCAAGCCTGCTGGATGCTCAGTCCTCAACCATTCCTGGGACAACTATCTTTCTGATGTTCTCTCCCAAATTTATACACCCTCATCATCCTATACCTCTACATGCCCAAACTACCTCTAGAACCTTTCAGTCCTCTGAATTATACTCTATTTTTGATGCTCCAAATTCTCTACACAATACTTGCACCACACATTGCTCTCAACTTTTCAACTTCCTTTCCATGCTTTATGACCTATTCCTTGGATCAGATCTAATTGCCTCCCATTCTTCAAGCTGTGTGACTTTTAGGTTTAATTCGACCTATTAAATAAAAAAAATCTTCGGGTCCTGACTTGGTTTTCTATAAAATTGTCAAAAGAATGCAACAGGCCTTGAATATCCCATAAAGATAATCTAAGATATGGGTGTGATCTCTCTAACTTAAACCTACTGGTATTGGCCTCTACAAAGGGCAGTCTCTTTAACCCTTAAACTGTCCAAACGTAGATCTACGTCCACGTGCGGGGGGGCTCCGAACGTAGAGCTATGTTTTTTTTTTTACATGCTTTCAAATGGACAAAATCAAGGTTGGAGCGCTACGCACGTGAACGTAGATCTATGTTTGGATAGTTTAAGGGTTAATGGGAGAGACTATGCTGGCAGAGATCTCTAACGAATTTAGGTTACCTTCCACTTCCAAAATCAATCCTAACTGCTCGTATTTTTCCACTTGCTTTTCTCAGGTGCTACATGACTACTATGGGTTTAGCACTTGACCATGAATATATCAGTACCCAGGATACCCCTAGGTATCCTGGACATTGATGAGGGGCTCTTGATCCTAGGAATTGGACCTGTGGTCCCCTTGGATCGAAAATAAATGCCTTCCATTCCCCCAGGTGCTGTATGACCCCTGTGGGCTTATCATTAACCCCATGCATAACAATAATACCCAGGTTAACAGAATATACTCTAGTGCTCCTGTGATTTAACTGCTGAATCACTATAACATGGTTTTGGATTCAATGGAAGATTGGCAAATTGTTGATGTTCTGTGCACAAACTGTGAAGGCCTATGATAAGCATGACCATTGTATACTTGTTCCACAAATGTGAAAAAAATATGACGGAAAAATTGGCAGCTGGATCTTCAACATTTTGTGAAACTGTAACTCAGATTATTCAATGTTTAATTATTTTTTGTTCTGTGATAGCCTGTATGGTATTCTGACCTCAGTGAGCAATGGGCAGTAAATGAATACTTTACAACACTCTGGAAAACAATAACAGACTACATCTAGACAAGTTAGATACCTTGAAGGGCAGAGGGCAAAGTAAATACGTCAATAGGGAAGGGGAAGTAAATACATCAATACTGTTTGTGTAACTTGCAGAGTTAAATAATAGTGTATACAAGGGAGGTGCCTAGATGTTGCTGTTTTTGACCCAATGAATTTAACCTGAGTTAATCTTGAATAGAACCCGATTACCTCTCATTACCCAGGTGCTATAGGGCACATGGATTTAGTGCTTCCTTCATGAATATAATATATAACTCCTACAGCATTATTACTCACAAAAAATGTAGTATACTTTTATTTTTTATTTTGAGAATTCAAGACAAAATTGTAAAATCACTATAATAGGTCTTGTTTGACATCTAATGTGCATTACAAGTTATGCAAGGACTTTACCTCTCATCCCATCGTCTTTCATATATACTAGTTTGATCTCATTTTTATTGAATATTAAAGTTTTTTTTTTTTTTTTTTTGCTGGATTTCTGGACCAATGTTCATGTCAGTTAATAGATTCAGGCACTTGTTCAACACTACCTACCAATTTCCCTTGGATGTTACTGTTCACTACTCGTTTAGCACTTTAAATTATTAATTTGTATCAATTTTTAAAGTGCTCTTGACACCAAAACCACTAGCAACATTAGTCTGAGTTAGAATGCATAATTTTTTTTTCTATCAAACCAGAATGGAGGTCTTGGCATCATTTTCTCACTAATGTTAGATCACATGTCTCTCACAGCTATACAGAGAAATAACTGATGCTGCTTTGCAAGGACTGCTGGACTGCATTATCATTTCACTACATCTTAATAATTTGTCCAGTCTAACAGTGGACACTCCACTACCCCTGCTAAATTTACCTCTTGCACACTCCTTTCCCAAACTAGTCTACGATCTCTGCATATTCCTTTGGCACATCCCACTTAGAAATGCTGTATAACCCTTTTGGGTTTAGCACTTAGTTTGATTGTGTTATTTTATTATAAGTGGGTATGCAAGATTCACTTCTAACACCTACAGTACCCAACACACTGATCTTGCTGAATGTCACCTTTAATGCAGACTTCCTTTGACTTTAACAAACCTCTTGCACCAGCTATGCTTTCAAACTGACATTAACCCTTGTTCTTGCACAGGCATACCCCTGCCCTTGCTCACCCCTAATCACAGCACTGTTCCATGTGGGTTTAGCACTTAAGAACACAAGAAAGGAGGAACACTGCAGCAGGCTTACTTACTCATTTGAAGCAGGTCCATGTCACCTGGCTTAGACCATTGGCCCACCTAGTCAGGTCACTTCCACTTAAGGAAGGAGCACAGCATCAGACCTAGCAGCACAAGCTAGTCAGGTCCAACTCTCACCCACTCGTGTATTTATCTAACCTATTTTTAAAACTACACAACGTTTTCACTTCTCTGATGGTACTCGGGAGTTTGTTCAATTCATCCACAACTCTATTACCAAACCAGTGCTTTCCAATATCCTTCCTGGATCTGAATTTTTCTGACTTGAAACCATTGCTGTGAGTCTTGTCTTGACTGGAAATTTTCAGCACGCTGTTTACATCCCCTTTATTTATTCCTGTTTTCCATTTATACACCTTGATCATATCCCCCCTAATTCTATGCCTTTCCAGAGTGCAGATTCAAGGCTCTCAGTCTATCCTCATAGGGAAGATTTCTGATACATGGGATCAAGTTTGTCATCCTCTATGTTTTCCAGTGCATTTATAAATCCATTCTGTAATATGGTGACCAGAAGTGTGCAGCATAATCTAAATGAGGCCTAACCAAGGATATATAGAGTTGACCAACCTGAGGACTTCTATTATTTATACTTCTTGATATGAAGCCAAGGATTCTGTTAGCTTTATTGCAAACATTAATACACTGTTGTCTTGGTTTTAGATTACTGCTAACCAGAACTCCTAAATCCTTTTTTGCAATCAGTAGTATTAAGATTACATTATTTAGTTTATATGTGGCATGGGATATTTGCTGTTTAGAGTGACATGTAAACTCGTATCTGCACATCTATGGCAAGACATTGATAGTGTAAATGATGGAGAAAGTTTTTCTTTTTCAGGTCACCCTGCCTCGGTGAGACAGTCAGTGTATTCTAAAAAAATTATGGCAGGGTGCAGTAAAATTTGTGAAAATTGCTTGAGGGAGGATGGGGCTATATTGATACTGGTGAAGGGTTTTCCATTTAAAAAAAAATTAAGTTGTTCTCCCTTTTTTTCCTGGCACTATATGGCCCTTGTGGGCTTAGTGCTTCTTTGTGGATATACTCTGCTCTAAGTTATTATCCCATCAAGGGAGGTTGCAAGAAATGACCTAGTCTCCCATTGGATCTATTCCTGAAAGGTTCTTGCATGCCAGTGAGGGGCTCTTGATTCCAGGAAAAAGACCTGCCCTTCTTGGATTAAATTTAATTGAGCTATGTGTAGAAAGAGATTTGGTAATAAGTAATAATAATAATATGAAAAATAGGATAAATAAATATACAAGGTATGATGTAGCACATAATGAAAGTAGTTTATTAGATTATGTATTGGTGGATAAAAGGTTGATGGGTAGGCTCCAGGATGTACATGTTTATAGAGGGGCAACTGATATATCGGATCATTATTTAGTTGTAGCTACAGTTAGAGTAAGAGGTAGATGGGAAAAGAGGAAGGTGGCAACAACAAGTAAGAGGGAGGTGAAAGTGTATAAACTAAGGGAGAAGGAAGTTTGGGTGAGATATAAGCGACTATTGGCAGAAAG